TTTACTTATTTATTTTCTCGTTGTTTCCCCACAATATTTGATGTATGGCCAAATGTGTACAGTTTGCAGTTGTCAGATCTAACAGAACTATTGCTTTATTGTCCCCCCCACCCCCTGCAACCTTTCAGGGACTTTATACTATGCAGGTCTTTCCTTGTCCTGGCCCAGCGGTTTTATTGTCCTTTTTGTTTTTAAAAAATTGGCAGTGTTTTAAATGGAGATCAGAAAGATCTTAAACCTTTATACAAAAATGCAGTTTGACTCTCAAAACCAAGTCTTCTTTTCTTGAACAATTACAGAAATTAAGTATTCAGACCAAATCTAAAATTCTTTGTGGGCTATGCTGATATTTTTAAAGGGTCGTTTATTTCCAATAAGAAAGTTTTAAAAACCTTTTCCTTTCTTGTAACTCATTTGCTAAGGAGAAAGCTTACAAGTTGGGAGTTATGGCTGCTAGAGTTGATAGGATTTTTATACAATATTACATTTGTAACTTTTTGAATTCTACATTGTATCTAACCTACTGAAGGAAGTTAAGCATAAGCAATGCTAACATTTTTCTCTGTCAAAACAGATGCTAGGCTATGTATCTTCTCTCCTTGGAGAAGAAAATAATTTGAAATGAAATTAAAAAGAGCAGCCTTATTTCTTCAGGTTTATGTTATTGTTTAAACGGGCAAACTATAAATCTCAAAATCTCCAGTGCTCACTGTCTTTATCCATTCATTCATGCATAGTTCCTAATAGGATACAGCTCTATTTTAGGATTGGGGATTGAATGATCATCACAGGAAAACTAAGCAGAGACTTGCTCAAGAACTACTGGGGTCTGAGATGAAAAGAAGGCTCCCTGTAGGAAGCAAAACCAGGCTTGCAGAATGAGGGAGAGGGAGTCCAGACAGAGGAAATCCCTTGTGCATAGAGAGACCCTGAGACCTGAGAGAGTAGCAGGGCTTGGAAACTCAGAGTAGGGAGATTAGTAGAGCTGCAGCTTTGGGGGTGCCTGGGGGTGGGAGGGGTGGAGGAGTGTTGGTTGAGAGAAGAGGAAAAAAAAGGATTGGATGCTGGAAGAAGGAAGTGGTAATGCTGGAAAAGTGAGCAGAATGCAGATCAGGAAGGCTTTGTAAAATTATATGAGAAATTTAATTCAGATATGAAGTGCACAGTATTATCTCATTTCATGGAATTTTTAGGTGGAAAATATTTATTTATTTTGGTACTGGGGATTGAACCCAGGGGTCCTTTACCACTGAGCTACATTTCCAGCCCTTGTTAAGTAACTTATGCCTAGGAAATGATTAGATTTATTCCTTTTCACATATTTTAATGCTAATTAATTTAATTTCAAATAATTCAAATAACCACCACTTACCTTAGGAAATTCTTTCACAGTCTAATAAACACCATTTGGGGTAAATATTTACTAAGTCTTTCACAGTAAATTATTTAAAAGGACAATATTAAATTATCTCTAATGTTCCTTTTAACTTCACTGTTTATATCCAACTAGATTCTACCTGAGACTGAAGTTATTTCATTCTGTCAAAGATAATGGAAGCACTGTGAACATGATTACAATTATATTATAATTGTACTGTTATTACATTAGCAATACATTATTATACTTGCCTCATGGAACATATTTTTAAGGTTGGCATTTACATAGAACCTTTAGTTACTGAGGGTTTCAAATAACATTTTACAATAGTAAATTGATGAAGAGGAAAGATCCTTCTTAATTGCTTTTCAGGATGAATCACTTAAAGACACCAAGGAAATGCTAGAGATAACCCTGAAGCCAGTCACATCCATTCTGTTTCCACACCCTTGATTTTCCATTACTTTTAGGAATGACTTTTGTTAACTAAGTCATTAAAATCCAATAAACATAAACTCTTCAAACCCCAGAGCCAAATTTTGCTGTGGGAATAAGCAAAGGCGTACAGGGGCTGCCACTGTTCTACAGAATAATGACTGGTCAATGAGCCTAGAAATGATTCCTCAGGGAAAGGGCGAATCAAATAGTTTGTAACCTTGGACTGGGCACTTGGTTTTCACTGTTCCATCTTTAATTGTTCTTTTCCTAAACTAATTGCACTATTGGAAAGATAACCCATGCATAAAATAACATGGAAAAGGCACTTTTTTTTTTTGCAACAGTACTATCGGATTTCATAGTGAGTGACAATACCAAGGCTCTAGGGTTCTTTACACCAACTATAAATACAAAGTAAATAAACAGACAAACCTAAAAAAAAAAAAAAAACACAATCTGGTAAAAACTATATCATTGAGATAAGACCTCTTAGCTCCTGATCCCCAAACCGTCCAGGTCAATTACAAATTTGGTTGATAATGTCAGATTGACTCTCTCTATATGTATATAATATATATCCTTTATATATAAATATTTCTTTTTTTAGAGAGAGAGGAGGGAGAGAGGGAGAATTTTTAATATTTATTATTTAGTTTTTGACAGACACAACATCTTTGTTTGTATGTGGTGCTGAGGATCGAACCAGGGCCGCACGCATGCCAGGCGAGCGTGCCACCGCTTGAGCCACATCCCCAGCCCATAAATATTTCTTAATATATATTTTTATACACACAGATATACACACATGTGCACCTGGTCCTGATTTAGGTAGTAGTTTTGGGCTACATATCAATCTTTTAAAAGAAATGCTAAATGGAGATTATTCTAGTCACTAGGGGACTGGTGCATACACTTAAACGAATGGACTTCTTTCTCTAAATGTGTGTCTCCACTGGTCTTCCCCAATTTCTCAGCTACACCAGCCTGAAATCTGAATCCTCCTCCTCCTTGGGTTCACTCACCATCCCTCACACCCACACTCTTTCCACCTCCATGTCTGTTTTTTCACCTTCGAAGAGTACCCTGAATGTGCTCCTTTCTGTCCTTCCCACTGGAACCCCCAAGTCACTATCTCACTTAAACAAGATTATAGGCTTTCTGATTTCTGCATTTCCTCTCCCCTGCTCCCACTGGTGCTCCATCTGGAAGCCAGAGTCACTTTTCCAAGATATAAATCAGACTGTGTCCCTCACTCCTTTGCCCCAAAACCCTCTCAAGTTCTTATCCTGACATAGTCCCCTCTTCAAACTTAGTACATTTTGGATCCTAGAGATGTCATCCTCCTTCTAATCACTCAAGCAGACCAAACTCCTTTCAGGACTTTACCCTCTGCCAGCACTGTTATTCCCTCCTTCTGTAGTTGGTATGACTCCTCATGTCCTTCAGGCTGTGTTTAAATGTCACTTCCTTATGGAGTCCTCTCCTGACTCCCTAAAGTAGTGAGTGCCCTGTCCCTTATGTTATTTCTCTCTCTTCACACACCTCTTCCTCGTCTCTCTCTCCTGGGGATTGAATCCAGGGGTGCTGTCTCACTGAGCTATATCCCTACTCTGTTTTTTTCTTTATTTTTAGGAAAGTCTCACTTAGTTTCCCATATTGACCTTGAATTTATGATCCTCCTACTGTAGCTTCCAGAGTGGCTGAGACAACAGGCGTGTCCACTACTTCCAGTTTGTGCTTTTCCCTTCAGAGCAGTAATTACAATTTGTAATTATTTTGTTCTTTTTATTTTTTTAAAATCTACTTCCTCTACCAGACTGTGGAGTGATGGAAAAGGTCAGGGACAATCTTGTCATTTTGTTCCTTCTGCCTAAAGGCAGTGTGCCCTAATCAAACATTGATTGAACAAATAGCATTGCTGTTAACAGCTGGATGCCTAATTTTATTTGCCTAACAATATCATAGTGTGCTTTTTAAAAAGCAGAAAGCCCTTCCACCCTGTAGCAGATATGGTGGTGCCAGTTTGAAGTGCCTCTTATGGAGTATGTTTAGGCAAAATTCATTTAAATCAGGTGCTTATAAATGTCAGGTCTACTTTAAATATGTGTTTCATTTTCTTATCTTAATGAGATGTTTTAAGAGTCTTATTTTATCCATGAGATTAAGGAAATAGGTGAAGTAGTCTAATTTTTTTTTTTTTTAACTAAATGGCTATTAGGTCATAAGACCTAACAAAATCTTTGTAGTACCATTGAGTACTTGCTCATTAATTATCTGGGAGACTAGTCAGAGTTTTAAAGTAACTTCTTACCTCACCCAGGAACCATTTAACAAATCTGTGTAACAATTTTTTTTTTATCAAGTGGTCCCTAAAGAATATTAACTATATCAGTTAGATTATAATTCACATCTCATCATTAAGAAATATTTTTGTAAGTCAAGTTTAGGACTTTTTTTTTTTAAAGCAACTTGAAAGCATCACCTTTTAAACAGTTCTATTTTAAAATTCCCATCAAAATACTAAAAGTTGATGCAGTCCTGACCTCTGATGCTCAGTGAACACCCCAGGAAGGGACAAAATGATTCGGTGGTTAAAGCTGTGTCCCCAGAAGCTTGGCTTCCCCCACATTCTCTCAGGCCGTACCTCTTCCTGCTGACTTGCTGTACTTGATCTTGACAGGCAAAGGAAAGCACTGTTAGGACTCGTCTGATCTGAACCAGCCAACCAGATTCAAGGAGGGGCTTGTGCTCACCAGCATCATCCAAGAATGACCTGGATGACTCATTAAATTCAGAAGGTGGTGTAAACAGCTCATGCATATGTTGTGTGCTTGAGTGTTCAAAGGGCAGAGCTGAGGTGTTTATCCCGAGGATGCTGGGGACGTCTCAGGTCTTCTTTTATAGAAGGCACATCCTTTTTAAGACACAGGAGCCAGTTCTTCTAGCTGTGTCCCCTTCTCCTTCCAGGTCATCAGGGACCCTTCCTGGGCATCTCATTTTCCTCTTGGGTCTCCTAGCCTCTGCCTGGAATGCACTCACTGTCCATCTGTCTACCTCCTGGATAGTACCATCTCTTAGTAACTTTGTTTAACCTCCTCTCCTAAATACAAGTGAATTTCCCTCAGTATTGTGTCTGCTTTTTTATTGGTTCTTTTGTTATTCTAACATGCTCAGCTCTCTGGTGAGAAATTTCCTTGAGGGATTAGATCTTCACCCTTCAGATGCTAGTGAATCCCTTATTCGCATTATTACAAGTGAAAGAAGGAATGGGAAAATCAGTCACAGAATTTTAATTTTTAAAATGATCTGTAAATCTTGTTTACCCAAGACAATTAGGTACACTGCCTAAAGACTTGTACGAGTACTTTAGTTCTCTAGTTGACTAATGGAGCCCAGGTTGAGTAATATACTCAGTACTTACTGAGTGTAATATTCCTCCCTAGGCAATCAATATTTGCTTTTTATTTTTTTATTTTTTTCTTTTTTCTTTTTTTTTTAATTGGTTGTTCACAACATTACAAAGCTCTTGACATATCATACTTCGAACAATAGTTTCAAGTGAGTTATGAACTCCCATTTTTACCCCACAATATTTGCTTTTTAATTGAAGTTATGGATATAGTAGAACATCTTAAGTATGCAGTTTGATGCACATTTGCAAATTGAACATATCATGTCATCATCACCCAGATAAAATATAGAAAATTTCTTGTACCCCAGAAATTATCTTCCTGTACTTTTCCAGTAACTGCTATTGGGATTTCTATTATGGTGGATTAATTTTACCTCTTTTGAACTTTATTTGAACAGAGTGGAATAGCGTAGATTTTTTTTTCCTTTAGCACCTTTTGCTTTACATTTTATGATGGGCTTAGAGAATCTGCTTTTGCTAAAGTACAGTCTTTGGCCTGCAGATGCAGGTATCTGAAAGAAGGATAAAGGTTGGCATCTCTGCTACATTTTGTGTCTGACTCCTTAACTTTATGAACTGTTAAGCTCTGCATGGAGGCAGGTTGATCATTTAAGGAAGTCATACCAAAGAATTCATCTAAACACTAGTAATACAAGGTTGATTAGCCCTAAATTTACCTAACTGATCTCATCCTCCTTGAAGACAGGCAGGATTTGCCACATTCTGTTTCAGTCCCCTTGGGTTATGCCTAGAAGTCATTACCCTACTCAGTGGATACTTTTCCCCACAAGGAGACTGCCTCCCTAAGAAGGAGTGATCATCTCATGAATTCCTCCCTCAGGATCCCAGATCTGATGGATTAACACCCTAAGCAACAAATGGAAATTGGCCCCAATTGACTTCTTCAGAGACACTTTGCAGAACCAGAGCTAAGATAATGATCAAGCAGACCATAGCTCAACAAGACCTCTCACACCTGCCCCAATTCCTCCTCTATTTAAAACTAAAGCTCAGGCTGGGGCTGTAGCTCAGTGGTGGAGCGCTTGCCTAGCACGTGTGAGGTACTGGGTTTGATCCTCAGCACAACACATAAATAAATAACAAAGTTGTAAACAAAACAACAGCAACACAAAATAACTAAAGCTCATGTCAGGGCCCCCAAACAGAACTGAGATGCTGGATCTAACTCTGCCTTTCCAGCATGCCATAATAATTAGAGTTCTTTTCCTGATTTTCTGTTTGGTGTTTGAGGGGAGTGGCCAGACCTGGTCTGTTGGGCCCCTGGAGTCAAGCCTCCACTTAGACTCCAATTGCACTTTTACCTGTGAGATTCAGCAGGCTGCCACACAGAACAGAGGGTTTGCCTCTTTCATTATTATACAGTGTCATATGTAAGCATATCTCACAATTTATTTATCTGTCCTTTAGAGGGTAGATGTTTGGGTTGTTTTCCAGTTTGGGCTATTACAGATATGCCTCTGAGTATTCTCATGCACATCCACATGTCCTTCTGTGGTGTACCCCTAGGAGTGGAACACACTGCTCCTGAATCACGTTCAGCTTCAGTAGATGTTACCAGTGTTGCAAAGTGTCCTGCCAGAACTGCATGAGAGTTTAGTTGCTCTACACTCTTGCCAATGCTTGGGTTTTGCTCTTTCTTAATTCAGCTAGTTTAAAACATACACAGAAGTATCTTGCCATGGTTTAAACTTTTTTCTCAATGACTAATGATATTACATACTTTTCCATATATTTGCGTAGGCTACTTTCATCATGCACCCATTCAAGTCTTTTATTCATATTTCTATTTGGTTATCTGTTTCACAAAATCTAAGAGATAATAAAGGTTGGATGTTTGAAGCCACTAAGTTTTGGGGCACTTGGTTCTGCAGCATTGAAATGTGATCCCATCTTGTGATATCATCTTTTATCATGGAACCTGGTCTTTCTGGTTCCCGCCTACACTGGCCTTTCCCATTTTTGATCTATGGGTTTCATTATACAGTTACAAGTTTTAAAAGTCAAAAATTTTGCAGGAGTGTATAGTGAGAAGCCATGTCACAATGCCGCTGCCCAGTTCCTGTCCTCAGCCTGCAGCCATTATTAGTTTGTTTACCATTTCTGAGATAGATCAAACATAATATGTACAAGCAAGTTATGTGTACTGCATTCTTTTATGCCCTGAACTTTGCTGTTTTCACCTAATGTTATGTTTTGGAGCACTTGCTATTTAGTACAAAATGAGTTTTCTCATTTTTTAAAAATAACTATTTTGTTGCATGAATTTATCATAATGTATTTAACCAGCCCACAGCTGATGGAGATTCATGTTGTTCTCATTGTGAAGCTGGGTGAAAGATGCCCACATCCACCAGGTGCAGTGGTGTACACCTGTAACCCCAGCTACTTGGGTGGCTGAGGGGAGGATTGTAAGTTCAAGACCAGACCAGGCAACTTAGACCCACCAATCTCAAAATTTTAAACTACAAGAGTGGGGCACAGCTCGGTGCTTCAGTGCTCATGCACAAGGCCTGGGTTCCATCCTGATAGCAGCACTAACAACAAAAACCATTGGCCCATTATCATCCAGGCGGGCCAGGTGTAAGCCATCACACGCATCCTTATAAGAGGGAGGCAGAGGGCTGGAGCCAGAAAGGTGTTGTGAAGATGGATGCAGAGGTTGGTAAAGCAAGATCAGGAGCCAAGAACTGTGGGAAGCCTCTAGAAGCTGGAAAATCACAGGAATGGACTGTCCTCGACTGCCTGCAGAAGGAATCAGCATTGATTTTAGCCCTTCAAGACCCATTTTGGACTTCTGATCCCCTGAACTGTAAGAAAAAAGTCTGTAGTGTTTTAAGTAACTGTTTGTAGTAATTTGCCACAGCAGCAACAGAATACTAGCACAGTTTTACAAAGAAAATTGCAGTGAAGAACTTCCTGTGTCTGACATTTTACATTGGGTAAAAGTATATCTAAAGAATAAAAATCTAGCTGGGCACAGTGGTGCATGCCCAGGTATTCAAGAGGCTGAGACGGGAGCATTGCAAATTTGAGACTCTGTCTCACTAAATTGAACGTTTACCAGTGCAGGTTTGCAGGTGCCACCCTGGGGACCATGTCTTTAACAGATGGACCTCTGGGGGACATTAAACATCCAAACTACAGCAACCCCCCCACAGGGGATGTACCAGTTTACACTTTCAGCAATGATGTACATGAGTTCCTTTTTCTCCAGACTCCTCCACACAGCATGTTACCAATCTTATGTATTTTATTCTTTCACTAATGAAAAATACCAGTTTCTTTCAACAACCTAATTACCAAATGTTCTTCATGTGACATGCTTAAAATCTCCTTCAGTGTTAGAACTTGGTCTTCTATTCGATTCTCACCATTTACCTTCCTGATTCTACCACCTTAACACAGAATGGGTTCTCTACCTAGACTGAGAAAAGGAAAGAATGAGTAATGTGTGGTGGTAGAACACATTCTATTCATCTGTATTTCTTTTTTTCTTGTCTATTTTTTCTCCTCACCCCTCTTTTTTTGTACTAGGGATTGAACCCAGGGGTAAAACACCAAGCTACCCCCCTGTCATTTTTATGTATTTTGAGACAGAGTCTCACTAAGTCCCTTAGGGTAGCCTAAGATCCTCCTACCTGTCGGTTGAGTCACTGGATTATAGGCAAGTACCACCAGGCCTGACTTTTCCCTGCCTATATTTCTATGAAGTCCTCTTTATGAGAAGAAAATGTTTTGTATTAAAATGTCTTAATCACAATTATTGATTAATGAAAACCAAGGAATCTGTAGCTTGGCAACATCCTGATCATTGTGGATGTTAACTCATTGATATAAGGTGGAAGCCATGAGCACATGGCGTGTGCATTCTGTGCCGGTGGTAACTATTGCGGATCTTCCTTCTCTAAGGCTCACAGGACCTCAGATTCTGGAGGAAGCTGCTCCTTATCAATTACTTACACATGAGATAGAACCTGTTTGTCTTACCATATTGAAGGACTAACACCTGTGCCACAAACTCAAACATCTTCCAATGAACAGTGAACCCCCTGTATTCCTCCTCTCAGGGATCAATAGTACCTGCATTTCTTGTTTCTAATGTATTGGCAACTTGAATTAATTACTTTTTGTAACCTGAATTCTTTGAAATTTAAATTGGTAGGGTAAAAGTACTACTCATAAATCTTAAGCCCTTGACTAAAATGTTTTAATCTATCTAATATATGGTGCTTAACTTCAATATGAACCAACTTAGAGTACGTGGTTAGAATTTTAAGAAACTTCAAGAAACCATAATACTTCATGAATTATGTATCATGGAAATGCAAAACAAGACAAAAATCTATTGACAGCATGCACAATTAT